CACGGAAGCGTGAACCGATATGGATACAGATCGTTTTGGCAAGTTACTATGAAATCAGAGTTAGAATCTATGTATTCTAATAAATTCTGGGATCTTATAGAACTTTCTAGTAGGGTGATTCCTATGGAAGGCAAGTTAATCTACAAAAAGATACCAGAAGATTTCTTAGTGAATAAATCATGAGTGTACAAGGGAATGTCATTATTTTTCTAATTCTATATATATTGATGACATCCTACTCATTTAGAATGATGTGGAAGTTTTGTCATCAATAAAGAGGTAGTTGTTCAATTACTTTTAAATGAAGGATTTTCAGGATGTAAGCTAGATTCCTAAGATCAAGCTTTTGCAAGATCGGGTTAAAACGAAAATAGGCTTATCTTAATAATCCTACATTGATAAAGTTTTAACCAGGTTTGGTATGCATAACTCAAAGAATGAGTTCTTGCTTTATTGATATGGATAGCTCTCTCTAGTAAGTAGTTTTTCAAGACTATCAAAGGAGATTGAGCAAATGAGACTGGAACAATATGTTTCGGCATATGAGAGTCTCATATATGCCATGGTCTATACCAAACAGGACATCCGCTACATAGTAGGGATAGTCAGTAGAGATCAGTCCAATACTGGACTTGACAACTGGTTTATTGTGAAAAATATCATTAAGTACCTAAGGAGAACCAATGATATCATATTCATTTATGGATGTGATGATATGGTCCTAGTCAGGTATGCTAGTTCTGATTTTCAATCAGAAGTAGATACTATGAGGTTCATGACTTAGTGTATGTTCACTTAATGGAAGGGAGATCAGTTGGTAGATTGTTAAGCAGATTTCAACTGCTGACTCAAACCTGTAGGTGGAAGATAGTGCAGCCTTAAAGGCGGCAAAGGAAGCCTATTAGTTTGATCTCACTGATTTAGAGGTTGTGGAGTATACTAGCCTGCCTATTGAGCTATGTTGTGACAATAGTGCAGAAGTAGTCCAAACCAATGACCCAAGGTTCCATAGAGGAACAAGATACACTGAGAGGAAGTATCATGTTCTACATGATGTTGTCCGGCAAGAAAATGCACTTATAGTTAGAACATTGCATTGGAACACAACTTTGTTGATCCATTATCAAAGGTGTCATTGATCAATAATTTTGATCATCATCTGGATAACATTGGAGTTATGTGCAATTTGAATTGGCTATGAGGGCAAGTGGGAGCTGTTGGGATTTATATGCCCTGGCATAGCAAATTCCTATCTGGATTATAGTGACATATGTTCTTGACATATCTGAAATATTTATGATTTATATAATTGGTGAATTCAATGTATTATGTTTCGATTCACTATGAAATTGATAGTGTCCATGTAATTACAAGAAATATTTATATATATGTATGTGATGGCAATCAATGCATGATATATAAATAGTAATTATAAATTGTTCATAGTCGGTAATTATAGATGGACTCATAATTAATTAAGACTTGAACTGGATCCGCATTAGGTTGACATATATTGCGAGAGCCGTCGTATGCAATTACTCCCTATCACCGTCATGGCATTTGACTCTTAAGCATGAGAAAAGTATAGACTCTTTTATTAATTAATAATTACTTTAATTTGTTCGGCGGATTCTTCGGGATCCTTAGACCGACACTTTGGGTAGTTATGTAATTAATAGTTAGAGGGTTATATTTTCAACATTTGCATCATTGCTACTTGTATTTATTTTGTATTGATTATGGTTGATCACAAAGTAAATTCGAAGGCCTTCGTATGTTTTTAGACAAAATGATTTATTATATATTTATTTATTTAAATTATTATTTTTGTCAAACAAATGTTTTATTGTGATCGAGCCAGAAATAATCAGAGGTACCAAAATAGATATATTAATTAAGTAGTCGGATTGATGGCTTTATTTATCCGATAACTAATTATGCATAGAGGGGTCAAAATGCAATATTGACTTAGAGGTTATTTATTATTTAATTGGAGTTCAATTAAATTTCTTTTAGTGGAGTAGAAATTAATTTATGAATTAATTGAATTGGGTTCATGGACCGGGCCAATTATTAATTCATTGTAGCCAATAAAATAATAGGCCCAATGGATTCTCACTCATAGCCCAACTTGATATTGGAATCATATTAGATTTGAGACATATGAATTAGAGATGGAGAATGATTTGTTGTTTCCTTTTCTTTATTTTTATGTTGCCTATAAATATACATGGTCTATCTATATTTTAGGTTGTGATTTTTGGTAGAAGGAAAAAGGAATATATATTTTCTCTCTCTAGAAAATTAGGGTTTATGTTCTCATCTAATGGAGGCTCCCACAAGCCTAGTTTTCCAAGGTCATTCATGGAGGTTTATGAGTGATTCCTAAAGGCAAAACAATTACCAAGAAGATGGAGATCCATGGAAAAGGTGTCTAGCAAAAGGGATCTACAATAAGTGAGAACATTCACTTTAGAGGAGAGATCTAAGGTTTACTCAAACCTTGATGTAAGTATTCAATCTTTTAATTGAATGATAGATCATATTTTATTTTTGCATAAAACTTATCTCTATGTGATGAATCAAGATCTGTGAAAGAAAATCCCTCGAAAAGTTTTAAAACTTGCACGTGTCACAACAATCACACCACCCACCATCACCACTACCCCTCATCTCTCTTCTCCATTGATGTCGCTGCCCATCATCACCATCACCTATTCTCTCTCTCTTCTCCAACTCATCCATGGCCGTATGTGTATATGTATAGGGAGTATTTTGCTCTTTTGCCTTATAATAATGGCTATAATTAACTGTTATTTAAGTTTGTTCAATAATCAAGAATTGTTATTACTGATATCATAACATCTTCACTGACTTATAGCAGTCCTACTTCATCGACAGTGTCTTTCTTGCTTTGCATTATTCAATGAACATCAGCATGAAAGGTTGAATCTCCTTGCTCTGAAAGAAACTTGTTTCTACAATGTTGATGATCGAAATGGAAATCTCAATCTTTAACTCAATTTATGGAAAAAAAAAATGAAAAATTTCCTCATATCAAAACTTCAAGTATGAACCACTGAATAATCATCAGAAAATATGCAGCAATGGGTTACGAGAAAATAAATATAATAAGACAAGGATATATGTTTCTCCAGTACTTTTATAAACTCTACAAATCTCCAGAATCAAAATTTTGTATGTGTTCTCTGTGAAAAATCCCAAAACCTTATGGTAAATCACAATAACACTCATGCGTCTTGTCCTAAAATTTCCAAAAGAAAGGAAACAATACCATGTGTATATTTCCAAGTCCTAAAACGTTATGATATATACACGCAAATGTAAACTTTAATTATTCGTGCAAATCATTAATCACAAAGCAAACATGAATCCCGAATCTTAGAACTTTATTATTCTTACATACCTATAATGCATAAATAAATAGTTAGATATAAATACCTCGATCTGTAATTGCAAATATCATAGATATTAAGATATACGTCGAGATCCTTTCTGTGGAACGAACAACGTGATAAATTGCTAGTCAAAGTGTGGAAACTGATTTATCTCTCTTGACCTTTTGCACACATAAACATTATACGTATTATTTCATTAGCATACATAACTGATGGGAATATGCACTTTTATAAAGGCAGAGAAATGACCAATTTTCCTTTTAGTAACTTTAATTCTACTTTCCATCAAAATAAGGAATAAATAGGAAAACATTTATCTAATAATTAATTATCATAAAGGTAATTTATAAGTTGACCAAATAATATAATTTTAATTCGATATCTATTTACTTAACCACTAATTAATGAAAATATATCACATGTCCAAATCATGTGGGCCACACAATTAATAAATAATCTTACAGCGAGAACACACAAGTGTGCATGTGTGTGAGAGAGAGTGTGTGTGTGTACCATGAAGTCAATTTGGAAAATGAAAATAGATGCCGACTAGAAATTTGATCATGTGGGCGATGACAGCCTTGTTGGCTGCGACGTTCTGCGGATTGAAGAAGAAAAAAATAAAATAAAAATATGAGGGCATTATTGATATTTCACATCCAAGAATTTTATATTTTTTATAATAAATTAATTATTAAGGGCAAATTAGTAATTGTATCACACTTTGCTGGTCGGAAAATTGTCTCTGATGGCTTTAAAGGAGGTATTTTGCTTGCTTTAATTAGTTGAAGGGAGCAACTTGCTTTCAAAAATAGTTCAGGGAGACATTTTGCAACAATTGTATAGTTTAAGGGTTTTTTTTTTTTTACTCTTTTACTTAGCAAACCGCTTGAATGAATGTAAATAAGTTGTTGAAATTAACACGCATTGAATTTACTTCACTCCATTAAGATATATAATATTTTTCAAAATTCAAATAAATTATTTAATACCTTTTTGAAGTGCTTATTACTCTTGTCATGGAAATTTTCTTAATAGCATTACTCATTATGTAAAAATATTAGTTTTGAATAACATCTCTTTTAATCTTAGAGTGAAAAGGTTGAGTGTGAGTGGTAATTAATTGTGTAAATAATTTTTAAAAAAAATTTCAAAATAACCTACACCAACTAGACACTTCACCAATCGAATGTATGTTATTCAATATTGTTCAAAAATAAAAACCATTGATTTTTGGTATCAATTACTGTGACAAATGTAAAGATTAACGGTTAAGAAAAAAACAATTGAACATTGTTTGTCGATTTCTCGGAAAAAAAAAAAAAAAAAATTCAATTGGTTTTTACCTTGTAAGAAAAAGTTTAAGCAATTTGTCATTCTTGCCAAGTCCGATGGGACCCACAACCTGGTGGAATCGTGAGCTGCCGTGGATACATTGTAGTAACAAACAATGTTGTTTGTTGAAAATCGTCTCCGGACACCCTCTCACTGGAGGGTGTCCATTGCTGACATGGCATAGGTGACATAGCAGGTATGTACATATAGTATTTACCACGTATGTAAATAATAGTACCCTATGTATCTGTACAGACTTTTCCTGCCCAAAGAACATTGTCTTCCACTTCTTCGCTGCCCACCGCCGCGCCGACCTCCGCTACACCATCCTCACAACCTTCCCTTACCTCACCTTCTGCCTCTATCACTTCGACACCAACCTCGTCCAAGGCAAGATCTCCGGCTCCATCCACCGTCTTCTCAGCCTTTTCCGACGGGGAAGAGTCTTTTTACGGCGAACCCACAGAAGAGGAAGAACTCTTCTCAATCTCCGGCGCGGTTGCGTCAGGCACATCGGCTGTCTTTTCGATGGACTGGCGACCCAATTTCTCTCTCTTCTTGGACTTTTCGCCGTTGGCCAAGTGTTCCTCGAAGGCCTCAATCGCTTAGTGGATGAGCTCACGGTTCGGCGACGAGTCCCACTGGAACCAGTAGCTCGTGTAGCAGTCGAAACAACTACAATCGAAGACCGGAGGCTTGTGGGCGTCGGATTTCTTGGTTGATTTCTTCTTCTTGTCGTCGGCGCCGATCGAAGACGGGTTTGAGGCGGACATCATCATTGACCTAGTAATTATGTAGGCCAGGACTTCCCGGTCCTCCAGAGAGAGAATCGAAGCTAGAGCGAGAATCGTAGTGGGGAGGAGCTTCAACACAGAGAAGCATTTCTGTTTGCCGCCGAGTGAGAGGGCACGAATGAAGAAGATGGAGATAGGTATACTTTACCTTTGTTTCTCATCTTCATGATTTTCTTGTGATGAATGAAGGGAATAGTTGCTAATTTGTGGTGGTGCAGTGGTGTTGCCGGCGGTTGCGATGGTGGTGGAGGAGGACTGGTGGTGAGGATGGTTTTGGTATATTATATTCGTATATGGTAAGTATGTATATTGTTTGTAGTATTCGTACATGGTAAAAAAAAGTAAGGTTTCAAAGTTACTGCTGGCACTTCGTCATAGCTGACAAGGCAATGACATGGCGAAGTAGGCTGACGTGACTTCATCCCAGCCGTTGCATCTGCCATGAACACCCTCCAATGAGAGGTGCCATGGAGAGGATTACTGCCCTCGTTCGTTGGCATATACTGAAGAAGCGAAACAGGTGAGGGATCTATTGAGACGGATATTGTTGTTCCATCGACTCAGATCGAAAATGGCATTGAGGCAAATCATGTCCTTTCACAGAACACTCGAAAAACCTTCCAATTTGGTTCCTGGGTTCGCAAGTTTTTCTTCCAAACCCAATCCGTTCGCAAGTTTTTCTTCCAAACCCAATCCTTACATAGGTAATTTATTCCCTTAGGGCTTATATATATATATGGGTTTTTTTTTTGGTGATTCTGATGAAACTCTCAAGAGGGTTTGTTTGATACTGTTACAGTGAAAGTTGGAATACCAGAATTTTTGAATGGAGTGGGAAAAGGGGTCGAAACCTATGTTGAAAAGCTCGAAACTGAGATTGGTGACTTCCAGAAGCTGCTTTTCTCACGCACTCTCAAGCTCAAGAAGTTGGGCATCCCATGTAAACATGTAATCAATTTTCTATCTTTTGATCTTATGAATCAATTTTTATTTCTTTTTCTATCTATTTCTTAATGGGTTTAAAAAAAATTCAATAAATTTAAGCAAATAGCAGTTTAGGGAAAATTTGATTTCAGTTGATATAGTGTCATATTTGATATTATGGGTTTGTGTTGATTTGAGTCCTAATGGTTGCTATTTTGGTGGTGTTATTTGGAGCTTATTGAATTTCTATAGCTCCACCATATTGCCTTTTAAGCTGGATATTGCAATTCAATGTAGTTAAGAAGAATTTTATTGTCTTGTTTTGTTCATGTTGTGCATTGATACTTCAACTGGAGTCACTTTGAAAATTGATTCGGTGGTGGAATTTTTAAAATGGATTTGAGACATGGTGTAAAAATTATGGTTATATTTGGATTTAAAATATTTGTGTTGGTGGATTAAAGAAGATTTAATTTAATTTTTTATTTTAAGTATTTCTTAAGCGAGGCTGGCGGATGGTTAGATGTTTAACTAGTTAACCTTTCAAAATGACTTGTGAAGTTGTAGAAAGAAATAAGATCATTTGATTGTCAAGAATATTTCTATTTGCTAGGAGAAGGATTTATATTGATAGAGTAGAATTCATCTTTTAATTGCTATTGAATTGTGATTATATTCACTAAATGATTTTTATCCCTTTCAGTCTGTTGGTTGTGAAGTAGTTGCTTGCATCTACATCTAAAAATGACTCTTTTTTTATGACTAAAAGATGAAAGGAACTATAATATGGCAAAATCTGATATCATATAGCGAAATACACTCTCTAAGATTTTGATGCAATTCTTGGTAAAAAAATGAAAAAAGAAAAGAAAAGAAAAGAAAAGAAAAGATTTTGATGCAATTCAATTGCTCTAGCTTATAAGAAGGTTAACATGAAATATTCTCACGTGCTCCATAACTTAGATATTGGTTGTCACAGAAATATCAAGTTATATGTTGAGTTATGCCATGTCCCATGGTTGCCTTAATGTATTCAGAGCTGAAATGGTCCTGTAGGATGTAATCTTGGTACTGTTGTTGTTAATTCCATTCAAATTCAAGTTTTGAAAATGTTGCTGTTAGTAGTTCCGGTGCTTGCTTTTAGAGGGAGCTCAATTCACACTGACCATATGGTTTCTCTGTAATACTTCCACTTAAGATCTGTTCTATTGCATATGTTGAGAGGTTGGCAGTTAGGATACTCTAATTACTTTGATAGATTTGGGATCCTTCATGGTGTCCTAACATGGGGCTTGGAGACCAATTCATTCATGTTATCCTTAATATAAGCTTTCAGATGACATGGGTCTTCCGAGAAGCTGTTTCTTTGCCAAAACATTACAGTACACTTTTATAAGTGTGATGAAATTCAGAAAATGTGGCAACTTCAGTGCCCAGGACCGACCCAGCATGAATCTTATTTCCGACCTCTTGTAGTCTCCCAAGAGTGAAAAAGACAGAGATGCCGATACAAAGCCAAGCTGGTGATTGACATCCTGGATTATGGTCGCCTGCTTTAGCGGGCAATCTTTTGCAAAGCCTTTAGTAGTGATTAGTAAGTCATGTGAATAGCGTCTTTCTAGATAAGAGAGTCTTATCTCTTTCCCATCTTCTTGGAAAAAAAGAGGTTATGTTGATGAATTGCAACTTAAAGATGTGATGACAAATAATCTTGACACTGTTCAAAATGTATAGGATGAGATGTAAAAGCCGAAGTAACCCTTGCTTCCGTAATATTGAAAGGGTCAAATCCAGCTGCCTTTGTCTTACAAGTCGTTCTATTCAATCGGAAATGTTCCATCCTGTGTTTCGGTTCTTAGATTTTTGTTCTCTTGATAATTGAAAAAGTTCATTTTTTTGCTTCTAGATTTATTGGCCTACTTTTGGTGCACTCATATTGTTTCTTGTTCATGATCATAGCATGTGTTTTGAAGGGTTATTGGAGGTTATATTATATATTTGCTTCTTGTGAGAAGTTGCTTATGAGTAGGACTGGGGAGTTTAGTTAGAGATCACGTAAAGCTATTATTATGTTGCAGGGACATTCTTTTTTCTGAAGAATGAATTGTAACATCTGATTTTTTTGCTTTTGCAGAGGAAACTGATACTGAAATATGCTCACAAGTATAGGCTGGGGCTTTGGAGACCTCGAGCGCAGCCTGTGGAATCTTAAACGGCCACTGGACTAACACTAATGTTATAATATTGGGCTGCTGCAAAATGTGACTAATGAAACCTCTCTATAAATTATCCTTTTTTGTGTTATCTCTATAAATTATCCTTTTTTGTGTTATCTTTACAATCCCATTGACAAGATTTCATGGATGAGATTGAAATATCTAATGCATGATTTTTTATTTTTTATTTTTTCTTAATGCCGTTTTCGATCCTTTAGATAAGTTTAGGAACCGTTTTGTTTTGTGTTGATAGTCAACACCCTCATCAACACCTCACTTCACCTCACTTGGGATGTTTTTGTTGCCAAATTGATGAAAGATAAATGGCAAAAAACTTGTTTCATAGTTTTGGTGCATTTACTTGTGAAAAAGTCTAAATATGTAAGTGCAATATTCATTTTCGGAGATATTTTTTTTTTGAGAGAAAGCTAATAAATTGTAATTACAATACTTTTTAACTATAAAGATGAGTAAGAGTAAAACATTGGTAGATGGAAAATAATTGCAATACTTTATAACAAAAAAGATGAGTAGGAGTAAAACATTGGTAGATCCAAAATAAAGTTTTCTTAAAAATACTAATATTTAACTACATTAAGATCATTCTTGCACTAGTAATTCCGAGTTATCTTAATTTTCGTGTGAAATTTTATCTCAACTAAATTCTCTAATATTTTAAAATACTCTACAAAACCCTCAAACATCCTGGGATAAGAAATGATTGGGTGTTTTTGGTGGCTTCCTTCCAATAGAATATAATAACATCACTCTTTTAGAATTTTTCACATTCCTTTTAATCTCTATACAACTACGGAAAATTTTGCATGTCTTTTGCGTGGCGCTTGTCAGAAAACCCTTCCATGTGACGAGGTAATCCCCCATTTGACGAGGTACTCCTTTTGCATGTCTCCCTTATGAGTCGTCTCTCTGCAATCTCTATCACACCAACACTCATCTACTGCATACTCCTCTATGGCAATTGCAAGTTTCATCCATTTTTTCATTTCAATTTCAATGGATTGTATTTCGCCGAATTTCCATTTAGTTTCAGAACTTTTCTTCCTTGCAGTATTTGTAAGATAGTCCAGTGATTTTATTTTTCGCCTCAAGTTGTTCTTCAATTAGTACCGTAATTGCTTTACACTCTATAAAATATTGAGCTTCAATTTGCTTCTACCATTGATTCCTTCAAATAGAAGTCCTTCTCATACAAAGTAGCATGAAAATATAAAGATTCCAGACAAGGAATATAATATAAACAAGAAGAGACTCATATATTAGCAAAAGTCCTTACTCTAAATTTTTGTTTTAAAAAAAAAAAACCCTCTAATATAGTTTTGATCACAAAAACTGTTTGTGGCTAATCCTCAACAGAAGCATTAACAAAGATTACCCCACACATGGGATTTAAAATGCATACAAACTTCAAGTGACACCCTAAAAACCTCCACTACAGAAAATTTAGGTTACATCAAATTAATTCATTCCTCATCCTGCAAATTGGTTACTTCCTCTTAGGTCCAAATCTACATGTTGTGTGTAACTGCAGAAAGCCCAGAGAGAAAACTCGACTTTACTGGAAGCAAATTAATCGAAAAAGGAATGACGAACATCATATTGCATACTTGAGAAACCCAGAACTAGGTCCACTGCTTGTACTTGCAGTTGTGGATGGGTTGTTGAAGTATACAACTTGAATACCACCACACGCTGTTGACTGGAAATCTGTTGAGTGAAGGATTTTTAAAGCACATTCCTGCAATAATGAACATATTTTGAGAATCGAGTGTGTAAAAATACTACTGGGTGCTATGCCCTAAACAAGAAAACAATATGAAAAATAATTTATATTTTGTAGCTTTCATTTCCTTCCAAATTTTTAGACCATGCCAAACTCTTCATAACTCGAGACCCCTTGTTACCCTCGCCTCCAAGATACAGTGTTATTACCTGCAACTATGGACTTATCTGGGCATTATTGCAATGCATCCCACACGTTGTGAGAAATTAATTATTTTGTTTGATTAAAACTTTTGAGACATTAACCACAAGGGGTTGGCTCAAGTGGGTAAGAACTTGGCCCTGGTGCCTCAATAAGCATCAGGTCTAAGGTTCGAATCCTCTTGGGTGTAAACAATTCCTTGAGGGTGTGTGTGTGAGTAATCAACTAGGAAAAAAAAAAAAAAAATTTGAGACATTAAGTTTTGATCAACTATAACTTACGAGAACTTAATATAAAACTAGATGCGAAGAAGGGGCTGTGAGTGAGAATGTGATCATTGTTTTTGTCTTGGCTTATATATGAATGCACATTCTGAATCAGATGTTTAGCATACCACAATGTCCTGCCTAATGGTGAATAGTTATCATCTATAACAAGAGTTTTGTAAGGCAGGAAAGAGAATCATTCAGAATCACCATAACTAGAAAATAATACAGACTTCAAAATCAAAATGCTCTCAAAAAGTTTTAATCAAGGCAGAAAATGAAAAGGACATATGAGAAGGAATCAAATTCGAAAATAGCTGATGAAACAAATGGCGAAGTAATGCAGACAATTATTGTGGAATTCAATTTATCTTTTTTAATTATTAACGTGAAATATTTCTACGTTGTACCAAATGTTAATCATATGATCAAAGTGGATCTCAAATTCTCTTAATGGGATTTGTGATCAATTTATCACTTTTGTTGTACAATGATGATTTGACTATTCATCCTGTACATTCTAATCTGTTTTCAAGAAATAAATAATGAAGACTCAAAATTGGCAGAGTGCTGTTTTAAACCTCATTAATCTCTTTTGCCATTTCCAGACTATTTTTTTCATCCCTCCTAGTAACTATGACCTGAAAATTTGGAAGTACCTTATGGACTCTTCTATGGCTATGTAGGATGTAGATTGGGGAGTATGAATTTGACCACACATAATCAGATCCACTAACAACAATTGAAGATTAAACATTATAGCAATGAAAATAAATTAATTTGCAGCTAGACCCCACAGGATAGGCAGTTGGTTGTTCATTTAATGATCAATCTAATTAGATAAATAAATATCATAAATATGGTCACTGCATTCCTTAGTCTCGTAGCTCACTCTTTCTTTATCATATCTTCTCTAATCTGTTCTAAGAGGGCAGGGATCCACCTCTCACCATATAAAAAAGACCAACAACTGAGATGAAAAACAGTGAGTTACAAGGGTAAATAATGCAGTGACAGTTTTTGCTCTAAGCTTTCTAACTTAGCTAGTAAGTAACACTTCTACTTTTAGATGTCATTGTTAACAATGCTTGGGCTCTCCTCATATGGTGAGAGGGGGATCCCAGCCAAAAACCTAGAACAGATTAGAGAAGATATGAATAAGAAAGAGTGAGGTACGAGAGTAAGGAATCTAGTGAGAGTTTTTCTGTTAGCTTTCTATCTTAGCTAGTAAGGAACAGTTCTACTAGAACACGTGTAGAGGGAGAGAGAGAGAGACGCTTATACGAAGTCAGAATTTTGTTCATCGGTTTCCAAGTCACATCCCCTCATATGTCTTGTATAATGCCCATTGGGTATCATAAGAAACCAAATTTCACATATGTAACGAAAAGCAAAATTTCAACATATATCTGGAATAGACAAAGCATATTTATCAATTACATTAATAACATCTATGAAGCATGGACACTCGCTATTTTCTTAAGTGGAGCACCACATCGAGTACTAAAATCCTCCAACACACGTGGAAACATATCAAACGCTATGAATGTGACTATTTATTTTCCTTCCAAAATAAAATAATTTTTTTTACACATGGCCAAAACAAGTTTAGCATGCAATGAACACTTTTTAGGATAGGAAAAGAATATGGGTGTAAAAGGAAAGATGCGGTAAGAAAATAGAGCAAGTGTATGCGTAAAAGATTATATACAGTATATATTAAGCTTCATCTTTTGAGTCATGCAACTGTCAATATCACAATGATAACAAAATTGTATATTTGTTATCATATAAAATACAAATGGATATAAAAAGTACACATATCTTTATATTGCCATGTCATCAATGTGTTTGTATCCAACGTTTTTAGAATTTGTCATGCCGGCATATAGGTGCCATACGATCTCTACATATGGCATCCATTTTCCATGCTGCTTAGACTCATCTATTCAAGGATTAAGCTCTGATTTGTGAACATGGACCACAATCTTTAGTATCGACATGGACACAAACCGTTCAACAAAACAAAACCACGACACAGACAATTTAAAGGCACAAGTTTCTCATATGCAGAAAATTGAGAAGCAAAAGCAGCCTCCTCCCGAGACCATGTCAACAAGTGGTGGGACTGTGTCAACAATTTTATGGCTTAGCAGTCATAAAATTTAAGTGATTAGGAGAATAATTCCAACATAGAATTTACTTAACACAAACAAGTTTTGAGAAAGGGTAATTTACACAAACCTCCCTTATGGTTTGCCATAATTACAGGGACCTCCTCTCCTGTTTTGGAAATTACTTGGACCTCTCCTAATTTTGAAAATATCCTACACGGACCTCCTTTATGTGTGACGGACCGTTAAATACACTAACGGACCTGTCTAAATTACTAAAATACCTTTACGTTGGCATCTGAAATTACTAAACTACCAATAAGCTTTTTACATATGTGTGACGTCGTATATACATATTTTTTCTTTTTAATTAATGTACTTTCCTAAAAGACGAAAAACATGTTTCTGTCATCGCCAGCGTCTTTTGATTCACCTCTGCGAGCTTGAGCTTGTCCCTGTTATCGCCAGTGGTCTTTTGATTCACCTTGTCGCCAATTGTCGTCGCTGCTAGATCAATCCCCCGATGAAGATGATCTGCTGAACCAAACCCAACCCTCTTGTTGCCACAAATTTCATTGAGGATGATCTCTGCACAATTCGCTTCTGATCTTGATAAAGCCACTCAGAATCAATTGGCAAGAGGTCAACAATTACGTGAATTGCTCAAACAATTCCAATCAGCCCCTCTCGCGACCATCGCAAGATCACCGATCTCACCGCTGCACGAGTGTCCTCAACCACACCCATCAAATTTGAGATTGATTTATATATATATATACACATGCATATATATATATATATAGCAAATGAAGATAGATAATCCATAAATGGACAGAACCACAAAGATTTTAAGTGGATTTTTCATTAACATTGTTTAAGTGGATCTTTCGTGAAATTGGGTTTATTTAGGGTTGGATTGCATTTCCGACCACTTCGCTGGACTGAAATCAACTGATCATGGCACGTTTGAACTTCTTTCTTGTTGCCTCGAGTTCGCCGTGTTCTGGGTCTCCCCATGAATAACTGCTGCCAGTTTAATGGTTCAGTGAGTCAGTTTCTTTCTTCTCTTTTTCTGTTTTGGTGGTAGGGTCTCCCCATGAATAACTGCTGCCATATCATCATCAATGGATGCCCCATGAATAACTGCTGCCGACTGAACTTTTTCAATTGGATCTCATGGTGAGGGAAACGAAAGAATGTCTTAAATAAGTTGAAGATCATGGTGCTAGCTGATATATATATATATATATATATATATATATATATATATATATATCAATTGGTAAGGACAAGGGTATTATGGGAATTTTAGTAAAATTTGTACGCCGTCAGCAATTTATGTTGTTGACTGGTGTTGACTTTAACAAAAGAGAGATTCATGTAGAATATTTTCATTTTTAGGGGAGGTCCAAGTAAATTCCGAAACAGGAGGGGAGGTCCATGTAATTATGGCAAACCATAGGGGAGGTTTGTGTAAATTATCCTTTGAGAAATGACACATGATAGTTAGTATATTTATGCCAAATCCATTGTAGCAGAAGTAAAGAAAGGTTATAACAAAAATGGATATGCCTATAAGAACTTATATATGTGTATATAAAGAATATATGCCTAGAAGAAGAAAAGATATAGTGGCATGACCAAGTTGTATATTCTAAAAAGACAAATTTAATCCCCCGAGTTTTGGTAAGGAAATTTGGATTCAAGGAAGAAATTTGACATGATGTCAGATGTGCCCCAGATATATGTGAAAACAACTGGTCAAGTTAAAATTTGAAAGTGCAGAACCAATGCCAATAAGAAATGTTAGTTTATTGATATGCTTTAGAATAGAAGCAATGGTAAAGGAAGGATGGTCTTGGTCTTACAGTATCAGCTCAAACAAAAAAATATCTTCCATTTTTTGTTTTTGAATGGATGAGATAAGATTTAAACCCCAACGCTAACTTTTGAAAAATAAAGAATCAGTTCTCCCTTCTATTCAGACAATAACTGGTGCACTTCTCATCATCAACACCTAATAAACAGCTGCAATATTATATATTGAAAGAAAAGTACGAGTCAAAGTTGTACAGATATGTACTTGGTGCAATTTGATGAAGGAACACATCGACTGGCGTCATATGTGAGAACCCAAAAGACCTGAAAGTCAACAATAAACAAACACATCACACTATCTTATAAGCACGAGTCTGCACAACAAATACTACTAAATGAACAAATAAGAAAGAAACAAATTTTACAAATGCAAAATTCCTTGCATATCACTTGTAGTTTGCATAAATATTTCAATTACTCCTTGTATTATAAAGTACATCAAACCTCTCATCATTTGCTTAAGTATTTCACAACACCCCGGAGGAGAAAAGGATAAACTACATTTCTGTCAAATTTCTTTCTTTCCCGATGAACTACTCTTTTACTGCTCATGTCATTTACATCTTCAGATACATTTCCTCCCAGACAGTGAGGTGGGCAGTTTGAACATTAACAAGGTCAGGTAAGCAAAGTAGTTCTTAATATATACATACAGATGGCAATTGTGCAATTTTGTTTTAATCATTTTTTTCTTTGGCTCAAACACAGTTAAGTAGTTTTAGTTTATCAGGTAATAAGGTCAGATGAAAAGATAGGGTGTTTACACAGGCGGACACAGAGGGGGGCTTGGGTGGGCTTGAGCCCCCCAAAAAAAAAATTTTTTTTAGTATTGTATTTTCAGCCTAATTTTTTTTTTTTTTAAATTTTTTTTAATAGTAGTATTAGCCCCCCTTTTTAACCCATTCAAAAAAAATTTGCTTATGAAATTGTGTAATTAAATTTATGTTCAATACTAGCCCCCCATTGACAATTCCTGGATTCGCCCTTGGGTGTTTATCCAACCCGAGCAAGCTATGAGAAGTTCCTTGTGCTTTATTTAAGATGGATACACAAACTGAACCATAGGGGTTTGTATGACTAATTCCCCTGCTAATAACAAGAAAAGCAAGGTGCTCCAACTACTCTCCACATAAGAGGTAATAGGATAAGAAATATGTGTAGAAGCAAGAAAATCTTCCTTTGTAACTAATAATGAAAAAATTAATTTCTCAGGATATCTGTCAGCTATTTATAACGATTCTGGTTCCTTATGATGAAAAAGTAACAGGAAAATAGTAGTAATATAACAAAGATAACAAGCAAAAGAGCCATAAATTCCAAATCAGAATCTACTATCAGCCAAACTGACTTATAGGTGCATTATATTTACGTGCCATGGCTTCGATTGCTGTTCAAGCACTGAAGAAAAACTTGGTAAAAATACATAAATCACTTATTTCATATGTTAATTCCACTAAAGAAATTTTGTTGCAAGGGGGAAAAATGGCTTTCATGTTCTAAAAAAAATTATTACCTTGAAAGATTATCACAAAGCAGAAGAGAAAGGTGACAATCATTGCAAACAGATTACTATTAAATGACATTGGCTTCTCTGCTTTCATTTTCTTCAAGGCCTTCATCCGTTCAATCCTTTTGCGCTTTAACAAGGCAAGCTCAGAGATTTCTCTGACCAACTTCAAATCAGCTGCATCCAGTGCTGGACCTCTGGGCGGGCGGGGTGGTTTGGGAGGCTTTTTGGAGCTCATCTTATTCCGCTTCTCCTTCAATTTCTTCCCCACAGAACCCGTCAGATCTTGTCCATACTTGTCCGATAATATTTGCATATTTGCAACAGTAACATCACCAGAATTTAAAAGCTTGTTGTATGAAGCCAAACCATCTCCACCCCCTGTGGTTCCATCTAATCCCAAAAGGCCACTCCAAACCCTACCCAACAGTTTCTTTGCATGCTCATCACTTGAACTCAGGTCTTTACTTCCATCTTCGTCACTTGTAGTCCCACCACTTTCTAAATCAACATCAAGATCACTTCCTTTCGAATCTACACGATCCATCACATGCTCAATATCTCTGCTCTTACCCTTTAATCCTCTCAATATCAACAAAAATAAAAATTTCTACCCAGTATAAGCAAAACCCAAAAACCCTTTCAGCTAACCCATCACATTGATCAAATGAAAATGCTGTTTTTTCAAACAATTGTGGTCAGAAACCATCAAACACAATAAATAAACCACCTTTCTATCACTCCTGAGTCATAATTGAATCCAAGAGGACTTCAACTTTTCATCACACAAACTTACCCTAAACAGTAAAAGGGCATTACCTTCTCATTATTATGAATTCGAAAAAGCTAACTTTTACCTCCACTTTCTTCAAATTTCAAAATACATATACATTGAGGTATTTGAGCTCCCAAAAGTATCCTGCTTTCAAAGATTAAAAATAAAAATTAGTACTATATAAAAATACAAACTGAAACAATATCCAAATTCTGAATGATTTTACAACCCTCTAACACAGAGAACCAAGGTTCAATTTTAACAATCCACATATTAAAAGAGAGAGAGAAAAAAAAACATAAAATAGAACCACCAATGAGGGATCAACATTACAAACTAAAATTATTGTGGCTACTGCAATTATTTGTTGTGTAAAATTCAGACTTTAAAAAGTCAGAGCATAAAAATCCCAGAATGAAAAAAAAGAAGAAGCAAATCATTGAGAGAAAAATGCGCACAATATAAAGTCGATCAGAAAATTAGCTTAGAAAGCAATAGATATTGGTAATGAAATCATCAATATATATCTACACACACACACACACACAAAATTTACCAAATTCACGTAAATTGGTAATACCCAGATGAGAGTTGTTAGCCATCGAAATGAATATACCTGCTTGATCGTTTCCAATTGGAGAGAGAGAGAGAGAGAGAGAGAGAAGGGGACGGCGATGAATGTCCTGAATAGAGTTCTAAATTCTATAGTCCGGAAGAAACGACGCCGTACTGAGGAGAACTCTTTAAATCTTTGTCTTTTTTTGTTTAAATTTTGCTTGATGCCTTTGGTTTTTTCAGTTGTCTTTTTTAAATAAATTGTCTTGTTCTAGATGTGTGACATATGTCATGGAATAGTGCAACTTGAACTTACACGTGTAAATCAAGAGTCAAGATTAATGTATTTAATTTATATAATTCATGAATTAATAATTCTTTTTTGGATAATTAATTAATAATTCAGATGAATCTAAAAATAATAAGATAAGACTCGATTTGGATCAGACTTGTACTTAAACACAATTAATTTATTTCCTTTTGAAGTAATTTATTTTTAGTTTGGATTTAGAATTCAGTTCAAACTTCTTCATAAATATACATTTTGGATGAGATAATACATCTCATATATTTGTACGGTACTTTACACGTCAAAAACAGGATAAAAATTTATGGAAGTACGTTCTAAGAATAATCTGAGTAAAGCTTCTATTAATTACATAAACCTATTTTACAATTCGATAAGTTATAATATTTTAAGTCACATCATTTTAAAAGCAAATTCAAAAATTGTTAATGGGTAACATTTTAAGTCACATCATTCTCATTTTTGTAAATTGATGGTACTAAAAGGCACGTTCTTACTTCTGATATCACTGTGACTCACTTCTACACTTATTTTGTGTTACATAAGTTATATCCAAAAAAATGTAATCTAAATTTTGGCATCACTTGGAATAAGGGTAAATTGGACTTTATGGAGGCTCCCTTTAATTAGATGAAACTTAAAAGGTAAAAAGCGCAAGAAAGAAAATGTAATGAAAGGAATGCAATATATATATATATATATATATATATATAATTGTTTTGTTAATAGTAAAACGTGAAGTAAAACAAAGTTATGAAAGGGAAATGAATATTTTATCAGTATTATACTTCATCAGAATGAAAATTTAAAAAAAAAAAAGAAATTATGAGAAATTATCAAGAACTCAAAAAAATTAAGGAATCAATTATTTATATATTTTTTTATAGAAAAACTTTATGAAAAAATTGAGTGATTATAGAAAGTAATTTTCCGGTAAAAAAATTCATTTCCCTTATTTTCTTGAAAAAATAATGTAAAGGACAAGATTTGCTATCCGTGTTCCTATTTACCGCTGATGTGGTTCAATTCTAAATGCAAAAATAATTGGTAATTACAAAATCAGAATCACCTACTCAAATCTTGGCCTAATGTAAATACCATTTGTAAGCGAGACACAGAAACTTTAATGCATCCAATTAATACGTAATTCCAAACAAACACTAATGACTTGATCATCAACAGTAATATATATCTTAGACAAAAAATTTTAACATACAATTGGAGATGTTCTTAGTTTTTCAAGCTCCATTTAATAATTCTGGTGACTCAATCTTCATTGCATTTTAAATTGCTCCTAGTAATTATTATAGGCACTTGCCATGAGCCATTTTTAGAGTTTCAAGTGCCAATTATTAATTCTAAGTCTCTTCATTATATTTCTTGAATTCTGGATACTTACTCTATAGGGTCATAGCTATTTCGTATCTTCCTTAATAATAATAGGAAGTAATATATAAATAAATATTTTTTTTTATTAACTATAGTTTTTTTTCCTTATTTCTTGTGATAACTTAATTTAAATTTTAACATTTTTTTATTATATTTGTTAAATAATTAACAAAATTTTACGTGCCCCCGGCCTTACATTAGCTCTGTCACTGAACATGCATATGTTATCACCGTGCTAAATGGTAGCTAGCCAAAATTCTTTAGAATAATTTTTATTTTACGAGAACTGAATATAAAAAATTTGCCTCGTTAATAATTTCTCACAATTATTTTCTGAAAACTCATTTCGAAAAATTCCTCTCTCAAATTAGCATGGAAACAAATATTCAGCCAAACATACATATAAAAACTTCAAATTCAAGTACCATAATATTCATATTATATAAACTTTAATGCAGCCCATTAGTACATAACTCAAAACACACACTAACGATCACCGATCACAAACAGTAAATTTCACGCACGAAACAGAGATATTAATTAAAGCCAATTAATTTTCCATGAGCAGCTTGTAACCAATCCTATAAGAAGCGTAAGCATCAATGCAAGCATATTCAACCTGGTTCTCATTAAGAACCCTAGCCTCCCAGTTACTCATGGTAACATGCCTAGGCTTCCTCATGTTCAGCCCCACCACTTCCAACGCCAGATCCTTCAGCCCGGGACGGCGGAACCTCCCCGGCCAACGCCTCATTGCCGCCACACGAATGTCCTCACTCTTGCTGCACTCCAGCCCATACTCATTCTTCAGCTTCGCTATGTCGTCACCAACCTCAATCCCCACGAAAGTGAAGTTAGAGTCCGCCATGAAACTCTTGAGGGACTGAGGGATTTCGTCCACGTAGAAGAGTTGGACGATCAAGCACTTGTCATCTATGCAGAGTTGCAATGTTGCTGATTTGTTGCTCATCGATCGGATGGGGTGGGGCCGCCATTCGATGTCTAGGCCTACCACCGTGGGCTTGTTGGCATATATGGAGAGAATTTCACGTACCCATTCGTCCGCGGTGGCCGCTTTGTCGGTGACGGTGGTGGCTATGGCTTTTCCGGCGAAGTTGACGGAGTATTTGGAGGTGGATGGGTTGTAGGTTATATTCATGGCTCTTCTTTTCTTCTTGATGAACTACTTGCTTGAGCTACTTGTGTTTTTTAGGTTAACAAAATGATGGTACTTATAAAGATTTAATTAATTAACTTTGGAATCTACTTTTGCTTTATTCCTAGAAGATAACTATCCTTGATTAGTCGATTGCAAAAAACTCACCTAAAGAATATTTTTGACAAAAAAACTTAATTTCCTCAACTATTCTAAGGGGTGTTTTAATTGATGTCCGTTTAAGTGATTGTTTCAGAAAATTTTTTGGACAAAATTATCCCTTAACTGATTATTCTTTAGACAATTTATTTATTTATTTTCTCTTTCTGTCAAACAACGCATATGAAGAAGCAAAGAAAAATTCCCCAAAAAAACAAAAAATGGAAAGCTAATAAAATCATATTTAAGCTATGTATAATTAATGAAATAAAATTGAGTACAACCGCATAGGAGAGAGAAAATCCACCATAGCGTTGGAATGGAAGATGAAAAAATTAAGCAGCTTAAGAACTCCTTCAGTGTCCTTGATTTTTAACAGCCATTATAACAGTTAATTATTTTAAGAAAAATAATTAATAATTTGTCATGTTTCCTTAGTCCAATTTCTTTCTTTCTTTTTTTTATTTTATTTTTAATTGAATTATGCTACTCAACGTAAGTAGACTAAATTTGGCAATTAAAAAGCAACATAATTTCTTTTTCAAATCTGAATTTTTTTAATTTTTTTTTACTTATTTCGAGAACACGAAATACCCTAAAGTAACTTTTTGAGACGGAATTATTGTATTTGATGTATTAAAGTTAAAGACCTAAAAATATGACGCTGTTAATGTGAAAGGACATCGTTGCCCTTTATTCAATTCACAAAAATCTAATTATAAAGAACATTTAAGTTACTTAGTTTGAGAGAAATGCATTTATCATCTCATCATATATTGTTTTGATTTCACTACCTACTACTCGAAAATTACATATCATGTGGACGAATTATATGGGTAATTTTTGGAAAGTTTACTCACTCTTATTATTAAGATTATTTATTTATTTATTAAGATGGTAAGAAATCAAAGGAAACATAACACTTTTTACATGCAAATGAACAATTGGATTTCTCGATCTGCTGTTAGCTTTGTGTTTGAAGGAATGAGAAGACTTGCTCGACGTGAAAAGAGAAAAGAGAATAAATAAATAAATTGTGTAAAGAATAATCTGTTAAGGGGTAATTTATTTTAAAAAATCATCTCAAACAACTACTTAAACAGACATTAGTTAAAAACACCCCCTTGGGATAGTTGAGGGAGATTTTTTGCTAAAAATATTCATAAATGGACTTTTTCGCAACTGGGTAGTAGTAAAGGGTTTTTTTTTGCAATTCGCCCTTGATTATTTGGAATCTACTTTTTCTTTCTTCTTTAACTTTGGAATCTACTTTTGCTTTCTTCTTTAACTTTGGAATCTACTTTTACTTTCTTCTTTAATTTGCATTGAATAGTAAAAATAGACACCAAATTGCCTCCACACTGTTTAGTTTTTCAAGTATAATTTGGAGGCTCTTCCTTGCATTTTTAAATTACTATTAGTAATTATATACCTTTCTATGACACAACGCGTTTTAAAGTCATGATGGTCGTGAACTAATCAGAATTCTAGAGTTAAGCGTGCTTAACGTGGAGTAGTACTAGGATGAATGATCTCCTAGGAAGTCTCTGGTTCGGGGGAGCAAAAAATGAATAATATTATGTCTGGCTAAGGTGAGGGTTGTTATAAATGGTATAAGAGCTTGACTCAGTTGGAAGTGTGGCTAATGGGGACATTGGGCCCCAATGGGGGATGATTGTGGTGACCTTGTGGGTGGGTGTGCAGTGGTCGAGTGTGAGGCACTGGCAAACTACCACACTGGGCGAGCTACGGGTACACATGTCCCACATCATTTAGGTAAGGGAAATGTAAAGTGTTTACATGTGGTGGATTGGGTCGTTACAATAAACACTTTCACTGTTCCAAGTTCCGAATATGAATTCTGAACTTCTTCAATGTATTTCTTTAGCACTCCTTTATAACATATTAGTTGTCTGTTTTATACCAAGTAATTGCAGTAACCTACTATACTTAATGAATAATGATAGAAACATCGAACATTTATCCCCGAATAGACATTGAACCTGACGTGGTGAGAACCACGTCATCTACTTAAAGCTTCTTGGAAAAAAATGATTATGCAAATGACAAAGATACCATTATGTTCAGTCTTATCTTCTTTTCATACCCTTCATTTTTTTCTCTCTACGATTTACTCCTCTCTCTCTCAAATTGTTCACAGTTCACCCATCTCTCTCTACTAACATTCTTTTCACTCTCTCTCAGATTTGGGTCTAAATTCTCTCTTTTCCATCTCTCTCAAATTCTATTAACTTTTTCTCAATCTAAAAATTTACCCATCTCCTCTCTATCTCTATGAAAATTTTCTTCACCTTTACTCTATAGGATATGGGTCTAAATTTTCTTACTTTGCAATCATTTTTTCTCTTTAAAAGTTTATCCATCTCTTTCTCTGAGATCTTGTACATAAACCCTAATCTTTAAACTTCATCAAAATAGGTCTATTAGTCTATATCATGGTGGCTTATTAACTTGGTCTGGTCTTCTTCGGAGAGAGAATACAACAGAAAGAATAAGTAGTTGAAAGATTTCCATATGATATGAATTTATGAATTGAGAAGATGGTGGCCATGGAATACGTAGAAGAGAGAGAATTTTGGAAAGAGATTTGATAAAATTTGAGAGAGAGGAGGAGCGGGGTATGAATAAAGATAAGGGCAAGTGGGGTATGTAATAAAGATAAGGGCAAAATTTGGGTTAGAAACTCTAAGAAACATGAACAGGAGAATCTGATGTGAAGCCACGTCAATTTCGGTGCTCATTTGGTGATTTTCGTTCAGCAACTGTATCATTACTCATTTTTAATTCATCAACCATGCAACAAATAAAGGAACAGGGCCTACACTTGCTTGAATTTTACATAAATAACCCATCAAAAACATTTGATTATGCAGTTCACTGCAACTTTTTGGTGTGAGTATTACTACTCTTTTAACAATGATATACAATTGTCGATATTAACACACAACAATTGAGAGAGAGAAAAGAGCGTGGAGTCCACCATCTCACACACCTTATCTCCTAATGTTGTCGCGATGTTGGATGCTGTTTACAAACGTTTTAGAACGGAGTGATTTTTTTTTTTTTAATTTTTTTTTGAAAGAACTTAAAAAAATAATTATAAAAGATGGTATTTATTTTGCTTTCACTTTAAGTGAAAGTAATATTTCGAGTACCAATTACTTGAGATTATTTGTGAGGTAAGAAGTTGACAACCTAAGATTGAGAAATAATTATATACGTGCACATGTAAATTTTGATGTATAAAAAGTTGTCATCCCTTAGTATAGCCATGAAACTCAAGGTGGAGTTAGAAAGCAGTCACTCTGTGTGCAAATAATACTAAAGAAATGCCCTGTATGTTTTGATAAGATGATATTTATGGTTGTTTATATATTTCAAGAAGTTTTACCTTTTTATATAAGGTTATCAATTGTTTAAATTATAATGAAGAGTAATATGTGAGTGTGAGTGGAGGTGCGGGATCTTTCACACAATTGATGTTAGCATAATTGATGTTAGTGTGTCCGGTGATATTATGCGGTGAAATTCAAATCCCACTCACACAATATTATTAATATCATATGAATTAAAAAAATGTATTATTTTTCTACCATGAATTTAGAGCTCAAAAAACTATTTAATATCTTCTTCCAATATGTTGATTTTTTAGAGAAACGAAAGTAAGAAATATTTCATTTGGATTCTTGGAGTTAAATCAAATTCAGACTCCTCCTTTAAGGGATGCATCATTTTCCTACCATGCATTGCTTTGTGGTAGATTTAATTTCATATCCAAGTACAATTATAACAAAATTGATTGACAAGCTAGCTTTGCTTTTTTTTTTTTTTCTTCGAAAGGCAGAAAAAAAAAGCTAGCTTGATAACCAGGTTGAGTCCTTCCCCGTTTTTATTTTTTTATTTTTTTTCTCGAAAGGCAGAAAAAAAAGCTTCCCTCTCAACACCTCAAAAAGGAGACAACGACTAGCACCCGATGTATTAGGATTCTCTCATTTTTTTTTTTTTTTTTGTTATCTATCATATTCTTGAAAAAAATACATGATTGGGTAGAGCTAGGATTTCAATTCGGAGGGGGTTACAGTTTAAAAAAAAAAAAAAAAAAAAAAATTCAACTAATATAACACGCAAAAAGAAGAATTTTAAGAAGAAAAAAAGAAAGAAAATTGAGATATACTACCTATTTGAAAGGAAAAAAAAAATTAGAGTATAATTCAAAAAGGGAAATTTGACTCTTTTTTTTTTTATAAATAAATTTAAGGAATTTAAATAACAAAAGAAAGAAAAAGTTAAGATAATTTAGAAATTAAAAAATTTAGGAGCATGGTATATAATTTTTCATATATATTAAAAAAAATTATAAATGAATTATATATAATTATACATATTCTATTGGGCGGAGCCAGGTCAGGGGCACGTGCTCCCCCTAGGCCTTAATTGGCTCGGTACCTGATAACGCATTAGGATTCTCTCTTATTCTATTTTTAGTTATAGTTATGTCCTCCAAAAGAAAACCGGCTATAATGCATTAGGATTCTCTCTTGTTCAATTTTTTTTTTTTTTAGTAGACATGACAAATAAACTAAAATAGGAACAAGAGAGCGCAATAATTTATTTATCATGTAGCCTTGTACGTCTAAATCGATAGAGCAATAATTTTAAATCGACTTAGAAAAACCATTGATTACAGAGGTAACCATAATTATAGTTGAGAGTTCCAATCGCCAAAAATTAACCCCTAAAGGCTAAAGAGATGCATATTCTCGAGATGTTAGAGAGCCCAAGGCAGTAAGCAAATGGGCCATTTTGTAAAAAAAAAACCCCAAAAAGCCCAACAAGAGCAATCCAAATTGATGGACTCTACCCAAGAAGCCCA